TGGAATGGGGTTTGTATTCATGGTCAATGTGTTCTTTTAGGTAGGACTCTACCCATGTTTTTAACTTTGTTCTACAGAATATTGGGTTACAGAGGCCGTCAACAGAACTCGGTTTTACTTCCTCCATTGTGTTTACAGAAAGGGAGATAGAAGGAACTGTAACAAATTCAGTCACCACAAAAATGTTGACCGGGAATTTAAAAAAAGCCTGTTCCAAAGAAAAGATCACTCACAATTAGTCACACATTTAATGTGAGCTGATTTCCTGACCATAAAAGCAGAGGCTTAATATTATTAAACCTCGCTCAGTCTATGTGGACTGCAGCACTGATGATAATTTGGCGTCTCCAGCATAAAGAACGTCCAGATAACCGGTAGCTCACCTGCTTCACAGCATCCAGCAGCCTCTCCAGGAGGTTCTGCCTCTTTGTATCAGTCTGCTGGGTGCCTGCGGAGGGTAACACAAACAAAAACAAGAGGAATGAGGAAAAGGACGTTGCCACAGATTAAATTTTCCATCATTTATTGTTACTCCGTTTATTATTCATGACAATGAAGAAGGAAATGAAGTTGTGTGGCAAGTAATGGCTGCTCGGAATCAACATAAATAATCAAAACTGACTGTGAAGTTCTGCGTTTAAGGACTGCTGAGCTCCAACTGCGACAGGACGCACCTATGGACATTAATATTACAGGGTACTGTGAGGATTCTTTAACCTCTAGAAGCACTGTGGGACAATGTTTTATATTAACATTTTATGGGCTGAGTGAACTATCCAGAAAAAAAATAGCAGACGAATCAACATTAGTAATCATTAACCCTGCAGCCCAGACAGCATATTGATGATGCTCCTTGTCTCAAAGGTCTTAAGTCATCGAAGAGCTGCCAACCCACTGGAGCAGCTCCCCGGTCATGTGTTTCCTCTGGAGCACCTGTGAGTTTGCAAAGGGACTTAAGTTACTTTCATCCACCAGCTTGTTTACCTGTGAATTTAGGCCAGGAGCTTGTTAAACACACACCTCTTACAGTAAGCTTCAAGGCTTTCCAGAGACTTCAAGCATACTTCCCTCATATAAAAACTATTAGGTGTTTTCCAGCTTTGAGTCACAGTTGGCCTAAGCATTATGGGGTTTCCAGTTGTTTACACACTGGGAACATTTGCAAAAATATGACAGTTTTAACACTTTCATTCCTGAGAAATCCCACTTAAATTGTGCGGAACTGCTTCGTTTTCCTGGAGCATTCTTGACCTCGATCTATCGTTTCAACAAAGCTAGCAAAAAGGGGGGAAAGCCATGTGTCAACAATATCAGACATTATGGAAACCAGCTAAAAGGCACCCAAATTAAACTTAGAAAGTCTCACCAAGTTTCTGAGCAATCTCCTGCAGGCGTGATTTGACATGTTGTGATTTTATGGGTAAGAAACAGAAAGCAGTGAAACAGCAAATCTTACCGTTCATCCTTATAAACAGACTCCAGTAGCATCCAAGCTAAACACTTCCCCACTGATACCATTCATCCCTTGCTGTCGCCTTTAATCACAAGAGGCTAGCGATGCACCGGGACCATGCTGTCTCTTTGGCCGAGCCGGACCCACCCAAGGGCGGCGTGAGGACTGATGCTTAGTCGGTGAACAGCGAGGCCTGCCGGTAAGCTGCAGGGCTGTGAGTCTACCACTCTGACATGTAGGAGTTGCACACAGCCAAATACACGGGTAAAGTGCGACAAGCACGAACCGGAGTGTGTTTTCTAACCAGCTACAGGACGGGTCTAAGGTGTGTTGGGCCGTTTCGGACAGAAACTGACTGTTTTCGGTTTGCTGCCTGCGACACTGCGAAAAAGGGAAACGGAGGACTGACATAGCAGCGCCATGGTCACATGACAAAACACACATTAATCATATGACGGCTAAGCGGAAGTGGGAGTTGTAGTCTTTTGTAATATAACTCTAGCGTTTGAAACAGAAGTAAAAGCATTAAATATTTTATCTGAAATCAAAAGTGTAGAAAACGCTTTACACCAGCCCTGCCACAAGGGTGCACAAGCTGGTTTCCCCCCAGAGATGTACCTAATTCAATTCAGTTTTAATTATATAGCTCCAAATCACAACAATGGGGCTTTATATTGTAGGGTAAAGACCCCATAACAATACAGAGAAAATCCCAACAGTCATATGTATCCCCTATGAGCAAGCACCTGGCAACAGTGGGAAGGAAAAACTCCCTTTTAACAGGATGTTAACATGCAGCAGAAGCAAGTTCAGGTTTGGGTGGCGTCCGTGTTAACAATGGCTACTTCAGGTGCTGTTGGCCAACAAGGTGCCTGCAGAAACTAGTCCACCGCAGGATCATAAGGTCACATGAAAAAAGAAACGTTTTCAGAGGGTAGTTTTCAAGTTAAAGCTCAGCCAAAATCAGTTCATGCAAGAAAGCAATGATCTCAAACACAGCAGCAAATCTACAACAGAACGGCTGAAAAACTAAATAATGAATGTGCTCCAATGACCCACTTATTCCAGTCCAGACCTCAGCACCCCTGAAATGCTGTGGTGCCACCTTAAGAGTGCTGTGCATTAATGAAAACTCCTCCAGTGTGACAGCCTGATAAAGCAATACAGAAAACGGTTACTTCATGTTATCACTGATAAAACTGGTTCTACAAGTTATCGAATCATTGGGCGCACATAACACTTTCTTTTTCACATGACTGTAAAATAGATCTGTTACGACAAGAACAACCAACTAAAGCTTTAAAATAAGTGGTATGGAGTCCAAAGAACAATATCTATACCATAATGCAGTGGTGGTGCTCTACATTGCAAGGTTAACAGTAAACTGGTTTCTAGTTTAAAGTGCTGCATTTGTATCAGCTGACATCAACTAAGCACATACTGTAAATACCCAGGTGTCTGAAGAAGGAATGAACATTTAAACTGCTATGTAAACTGGCATTTAAAAAGTATCAAGAAAAACTGATGATTGAATATGAGACTTACCCGAGGACAGCACTGGGGAGAGACGAATAGATAAAGAAAAGGAAAATATTGAAATTAAGTGAATGTCTCTATTTTAAAAAAAATTAATTAATTAATTAAAAAAAAAACTCACGATGTGATATTATAGTATATAGTATATCAGAAATCTGTTCACTATTTTTATTACAAATTATATCAGTAAGGAAGGTGACTAAATATTAACTGATAATTTATGGCAAAGGAGTGGGATTAAATAAGTGTTTACTTCTTCCCACTCCCTTTCAACATGTAAATTAATCAGAACGTTGTTTTGTATGTATTTTGTATAGTATTTTTCTCTCTCTTATTTTCTTTTCTAAATGTACCTGTATATTGTTCACATGTTGAAATAAATTACCAATCAATCAATCAATCAAAATTCCACATAGCCACTTATTGCAGGCCATCCAGTGTCAGGTGGAGCAAATACTGTATGCAGTCTTGTGAGTCATGTGAAAGAATTTATAGATTTTATGTATGCACAGCTAAAAAGTCTGAAGGACCTGATGTAATGATCAACTTCAGCTGTCATAAAAAAAAACTACTCTTGCATGTTTGACATTCAGCCTGCACAACAACAAAGGTTCACAATGATAGACTTTCATGGTTCTATGACTCAGAAGACTCCATAACTGCATTTATTGTTGACTGTGCCTATTATATGTTTTATAGTAAATCAGGGTATGTGTTCAGGCAGGTGGACAGAGAGTCTGGAACAATAACATGGCAAAACAAGCACCAACATACTAATTTATGGTATTACTACTTGTGTATGATTAACATGATATCAGTATTATTATTATTATTTGATTTAACACTGGTGGTTCAGAGTTTAACACCCTGAAATTCATACTTTGAACAGGGTTCATGAGCTCACAGCTGGTCCTGGACCAAAAGGTAACTGGGAGTCGAAACACTGGGGGGTGTCGCTGCAGGTTTTTTGGATAAAGGAGGAGGTGTTGGTGGCATTTAATCGCTCTCCAGCCCAGTCATTTACTCTGGGCTTTGTTTGTTATCCAAGAAGAGGTAAATCTTCAGTCATGTCTGAAGTAGATCTTCGAGCTAACAAAACAAAAAAAAAGAAGAATCGCTTACAAAATAAGATATTGGCAATGTAAAAAGTTACTGGAAACCTATGCTCATGTCCAACTCAGTATTTTTTTTTTCACAGTTAAAAGAAAAAAACATCTTCTTTGTCTTATACTGAGCCTTAGTGCAGCTCTTCACACCATCCTCTGAAAGAAGCTGTTTTAACTCCCTCCCTTTAAGTCTTCTTTCTTCTGATTGGCTCGTCCAAATAAAAAAAAGTTCAAAACAGCAGGTTTGTCCTCACAGCCATTACTCAAATGACCGTATTAAAGATGTTTTTAGCCAGTAGTAGAAAGAAAAGAAAGAAACACACCTGATACATTTTCTTTTGCTCATAGTGATAACTTGTCCATATGCTCAGCAACCTTTTTCAAACTTTGGGTATGTTTAATGTAAGCATCTACTGACGTTTACGAAATTGTTGGTACCCTTCGGTCAATGAAAGAAAAACTCACAATGGTCACAGAAATAACTTTAATCTGACAAAAGTAATAATAAATAAAAATTCTATAAATCTTAACCAGTGAAAGTCAGACATTGCTTTTCAACCATGCTTCATCTGAATTATTTAAAAAAATAAATGCATGAAACAGGCCTGGACAAAAATGATGGTACCCCTAGAAAAGAATGAAAATAATGTGACCAAAGGGACGTGTTAATCCAAGGTGTGTCCAGTAATCAGCATCACAGGTGTCTACAATCTTGTAATCAGTCAGTGGGCCTATATATAGGACTCCAGATAATCACTGTGTTGTTTGGTGACATGGTGTGTACCACACTCAACATGGACCAGACGAAGCAAAGGAAGGAGTTGTCTCAGGTGATTAGAAAGAAAATCATAGACAAGCATGTTAAAGGTAAAGGCTATAAGGCTATCTCCAAGCAGCTAGATGTTCCTGTGACTACAGTTGCACATGTCATTCAGAAATTTAAGATCCGCAGGAGGAAAATTGATGACAGTTTGATTTGTTGAAAACAAATCATAAAAAAGCCAGACTGGAATATGCCAAACTACAGTTGACAAGCCACAGAGCTTCTGGGAGAATGTCCTGTGGACAGATGAGACAAGAATTGAACTTTTTGCCAAGGCACATCAGCGCTATATTCACCGACAGAAAAATGAAACATATCAAGAAAAGAACACTGTCCCAACTGTGAAACATGGGGGAGGCTCGGTTATGTTCTGGGGCTGCTTTGCAGCATCTGGCACAGGGTGTCTTGAATCTGTGCGGGGTACAATCAAATCTCAAGATTATCAAGGGATTCTAGAGAGAAATTTGCTGGCCAGTGTCAGAATGCTTGGTCTCAGTTGCAGGTCATGGGTCTTACAACAGGACAATGATCCAAAACACGCAGCTAAAAACACCCAAGAATGGCTAAGAGGAAAACATTGGACTATTTTAAAGTGGCCTTCTATGATCCCTGACCTCAATCCTATTGAGCGTCTTTGGAAGGAGCTGAAACATGCAGTCTGGAAAAGGTGCCTCATGAGCAGTGGGCCAAAATACCTGCTGAGAGGTGCAGAAGTCTTACTGACAGTTACAGGATTCGTTTGGTTGCAGTGATTGCCTCAAAAGGTTGTTCAACAAAATACATAAAAGTTGTGGGTAACATCATTTTTGTCCAGGCCTGTTTCATGCATTTATTTTTTTTTAAATAATTCAGATGAAGCATGGTTGAAAAGCAATGTCTGACTTTCATTGGTTAAGATTTATAGAATTTTTATTTATTACCTTTGTCAGATTAAAGTTATTTCTGTGACCATTGTGAGTTTTTCTTTCATTCACCGAAGGGTACCAACAATTTTGTCCACGTCTGTACTAATGTACCTGTAACATACGACAAAAAATGTGGAACGTCATAAGTCGTCTTATATTTGTAACAAAACCTTCTTTGACAGAAGGTCAGACCTGCACAACGTTAAAGAATTTGTGTACCTTCATAACTGCGAGGCCTCAGTTGAACCACACTCTGGGCTGAATCACTTTCTTGGGGTCATCCCGTCACATGGTTTATCGATTTATTGTCTGTGCCTCTATAAAAGGTCTAAGTTCTTAGTTTGAAGCCAATCTGTGATAGATTTTCTTTACCATGTAGGGCCATTGATTGTTGCAACACATATAAGCACACAGGGGGACCTGAAACCAGACAGCTGGTAGCAAATAGCTGAATGATCTAAACCAGGGGTCAGCAACCTTTAACACCCAAAGAGCCATTTGGATGTGATTTCCACGCAAAAGAAAACACTGGGAGCCGCAAATACTTTTTGACATTTAAAATGAAGATAACACTGTATATATTGTTTTTTTACTTTTATGCTTTGTGTGAACAACTAAGGTCTATTGCTTATGAAATCCATGAAGTGCTACAGAGAAAATTACATTTTATTTATGTAATTAACACATTTTGAACTCTTAAAGAAATATAACAAAAGGAAAGACACCCAGCTGAACTGAAATGATCCAGCAAACAAAAACTGTTTTGAGCCTCCACCCTTATGTCTCCTTTGGGCTTTTGGAGCCTTGACCGGACTTTTAACAAAATAGTTGGGAAAAAAAAGCACTATGCTGCTAAAAAAAAGAAAAGAAAAATAGATATTTGCAAACTTCTGCCTAAATATGTATTTTACCTGGTTAATGTGTGTGAGCGGCACCCGCAATCACGCCTCGCCACCTTAACGTCTGTGCTATCTGTACTGTTGTGTTGGTGTGTGTCGGGCTGTGAGCTGAAAAGCT